AGTCTCAATAAACATTTGATAGCTTTTTTATTTTTTGTATCTTCAATCTCAGAAGGTAATAAGGGACCTTCAATCTGAATAAGTTGGCTCAAATATTCTACATGACCAACTGCAAGATAAATTAGATTATCCCAAGCTAAATTTTCATCAATAACCCAAATGTGTTGTGAAGCTTTGAGTATTATTTCCTGACTAGTATGAATGGTCATTGCATATCCAAGTTCTCAATCTATAGCCTTTTCTTTTCCTAACATGCCTTGTAAGAATTTATCAGGAAGTGTATTTAAGGGTAAGTGTATTATATCATTTTTTACTACTCCCTTTTTTTGAATAAGCTAGAGATCAGAACAAGGCAATTTTGTTTGCGCCCATCTTTTGGCCTATAAATTAATGGGATTGGAATTTCAGAATATTTTGTACAATGAAGCTTAAGACATATTTGTGATGCAAGTCTTCAAGAAAGTCAATATGCTGATAGAATTCAATCTAAGAGAGACCATTCCTTTTCGAGATATTTCCATTTTTCTATAACTGGAATTGCTCTACGAAATAATTCTGATTGTACTCGATTATTTTTACAACATATTCTCTTTTTAAGTTTACATAATTTAGGACATTTGGCCTGATAGTCAGTCAAGACTTCCTTATAGTAATTAGCTCATTTTTTTAACCAGCTATAGGGCATTTCTCCAAAGAATAGTGGAGGCTAGGCATCATTACTACAACAAATTACCTGATATTTTTGCTCTAGTAAGTAATCGATAAACTTTTCTAAAATATGTTTAGGCACTGTACATACTTCATCCCATATAACAACTCGTGGAAATTTTTTTTCTCCCATACGTTTAGGAGTCTACTCTTCTACACCATTCTACTTAAAGAAACTATGCCAAGTTTGGGCTTTTACCTTATAGTTATTTTGGAAGTCTTTGGCCAATACATTTGTATGAGTGAAAACAACCATGTTTATGTCTTTAAAAATTTTGATAGCTCATGTTATTTTACCAGATTCACCTCCTCCATTGAGATATAAATTTTGATATCACGTAATAAAATCATGAATTGATGAAGCCATACTATCTGAAATATCTTTGATCGATTCCTAATACCTATTCTTTGGTCAGTATACAATATTAGCAACTGGTTTATATATTTTTTCACCTTTATCACCCCATTGACCAGGTTGAATTTTTTGAATTTCTTGTTCTTCTGGTTGATTTAACTGCTTCTAACAAGAATCTGATTTATAAAACCATTCCCCAAAGCAAAATCTGCAAACAAATGGTTTATGTCTTTTGCAATTATATTTTATTAAAGGTCTTTTTGTTTTT